GGACACAAGCATTGGAAATAAAAATAAGGAATGGATATCTTTGATTAGCTACTCTTAGTAAACCTAACCTGGATGAGAAGAAATTTAAAAGGCTAAGCGTAAGTATGAAGAAAACAATTTCTATGACAAAACAGAGCAGATACATTATAGCAGTGGTCAGAAAACTCACTTGCAGACCAAGTTTGGCCGTGTGTGTGTGTGTGTGTGTGTGTGTGTGTGTGTTTGTGTGTGTGTGTTTTACATTTTTTTTAAAGATTTATTTATTTATTATGTATACAGAAGAGGGCGCCAGAGTGAGCCACCATGTGGGTGCTGGGAATTGAACTCAGGACCTCTGGAAGAGCAGTCGTTGCTCTTAACCTCTGAGCCATCTCTCCAGCCCCTGTGTTTTACATTTTTAAAAGCTATAAAAGAAAGACTATAGACATGGCCTGTAGAACTTAAGATATTAACTCTCTAGCCTTTGAGGGAAAGTTTTTTGACTTGTTCTTATATCATCATCAGCTATGAGATTAATAAGAATGTTCATCTTTATGCAAAAAGCTTAAAAATGGTTAAGGAAAAGGAGGTTTGCTACCTCTTTAATCCTATAATCGTGACACTGGAAAATTAGCCACCTTTTATAGACACACATAAAAGTTTTAGGTAAAAAAAGAAAGTAAGTGAAGTGGGGTGGAGGGGCACACAGCTGCAACCTCAGCTCTTGAGAGGCGGAGGCAGGAGGATGGGGAATCCAAGGTCAATCCTCAGCTACATCATGAGTTTGAGACCTGTCTAGACTTCATGAGACCCTGTCTAAAAACAATAATAAAGTAAAGATTTTCAAGTTCTCCCCTCAGATTACAACCTGAGCAGCTTCATAATTTCTTTTATAGTTAAAATTAGTTGGCCTACTTACTTATTGTGGGGAAGCCAGGCCTCACACTCATTAAACTCATACTCTACCTACCACTCAGCCCTGAGCTGAGTCAAAAAAAAAAAAAAAAAAACAGCCAAAAATGTTACACAGAGGAAACCCGGTCTCGGAAAAAAAAAAAAAAAAAAAAAAAAAAAAGACTTTTTTACAAGGAAACATTTTGAAAATCTCTAATTTAATCTAAACCTTCACTTCATCAAAACTCTTTTAAAGTAGCTGGACAGTGGGGGTGCACACCTTTGATTGCAGCACTCGGGAGGCAGAAGCAGGTGGATCTCTGTGAGTTCCAGGCCAGCCTGTTGTACAGAGCGAGTTACAGCCAGAGCTACACAGAGAAACCCTGTCTCAAAAAACAAAACAAAACAAAACAAAAATTCCTTTAAAAGTTATTAATCAACTTCTGTGACATTTTGAATTGCAGAGACTTTGAACTTTACAAATAGCCCATTCCATTTTTCTTATTGGACATTTATATATACATATATATTCACAAACAAACATTTCTATATTTACATATATGCTTACGTAGACATAGCTACATATACACATATACATACGTATGTATATACACACGTATGTATACACACACACACACCCTTGATAGGGCCTTATACACGCTAGGCAAGTACTCTACCATCGACCTGGTTTTTACTTTATTTTAGGACTGGGTGCAACTAAGCAGTATCGTGGACTATGGGGGTCCAGCCCCTCGATAGTCCCCTCCCAGGGTCCAGGAAGAATCTACAACCAGCTGATAATTAATCTTTGATGAAAAGAAATGAATCTATGTACACGAAACTCCTTAGTCCATACACTTTATTATTCTGAGTCAGTTCTCTCTCTATACAGCTTCTATTCTGCTCTCATGCCTAGCTCCTTTCTTGCCTGATTTCTCCCTACATTTATCTGCTGTCCCCTCTAAGTTCTATCTTAGTTCTCTCATCTTAGTTCTGCCCCATCTAGATTCTCATCCATCTAGTTCTTTCCCATCTTAGCTCCTCTCTCATCTCCTTTTTTCTATCTTGTTCTTCCTCATCTTGTTCTTCCCCATCTGACTCTTCCTCATCTTCCATCTTCTTCCTCTAGTCCTCTCTTCTCGCCCTTCAATCTAGTTCTTCCCCGTCTCAGTTTGTTCCTCTCAAGTTCTTACCCATCTAGTTCTTTCATTCTCTTGTCTCCTTATTCTCCCAGTTCTCCACAAGTCTCTCTGGTATCCAGTTATAAACCCAAGCAATGGCAATCCTCTGGCCTAGCAAAGTCACCAGGCTTGAATTCTACGGGGTCATAAAGGCAGGTAAGAATTTTCCTCAGCTAGTGACTGTCAGGCCTTCTTTTACAACCCAAAATGGGAGTGGTGAAAGAGGAGGTCACCTGAGTGCTAATGACCGGTTAGTGTATCACAAAGGAGGTCTGTGTGCTCAGTCCACATTCCTAGAAGTGGTTAGGTAAGAAGTTAAGGGTCTATTAGTAAGAAAGGAGGGTCTCACCCTAAAATGCACAAGAAATAAAGCTATCTGCCTGACCCAGGAGACAGGTGTTGTTTCATATGGCATTGGATAGGCATTTTAGATAAATACACTGTTAGCAGTTCTTGGAAGCACACAAGAAAAATCATTTTAGGAACCAATATATATATCTTTGCTCCATGGCCTGACATGGCTTGACCTTTGGAGTGGTCCTTGACTTTTCCAAGTAGTAGCTTTTGTGATAGTAGCTGAATTCCATTACGTTTTCCTGCGGCTTGCAGCGAAGCAGCCCAGATGGGATTTGAATTCACTATGTAGCCCAGACTGGTCTAGCCTCCTGCCTTAGACTCCAGAGTAGCTGTGATTGCAGCCTCGTACAGAATCCTAAACAGCTTGGGTCCCGGAACCCCAGCTAGGGATGTCGAGGGAATGAAGGACAGTCGCACAGACAAACACACTCTGAAGCTGGGCTCAGGTTCTCTAGCACCTCAGCATGTTTGTTACATACAGCACCCAGGGGAAGGTCAGCAAGGCTTGGTTGGAAGTCTCTGTGTTGGGCTGCAAACCTTGGTGGGGAGGAGGCCGAAGTTGCTAGTCTTTGTACTCACTGATCAATCCTTCATAAACATCCATACTCAAAAGGCTGAGCGCCCCCATATCACAATACACATTCACTCGGGACTTCAGCCACACAGGGTTGGCCTCCGACATCCTGGCACAACCAGGACTGGCTAGTTTCTTCTGAAGCCCCTCCCCCCACACTGAAACTGTGCCTTGTCCCTTCAGCCATATCTCACAGCACTTTCTGTACCACCTCTTACACACACTGACAATAGAACTTGAAAGTCAACGAGAAGTCTAAAGTTATTCCAGACACGAACAGACCGGGTCAGATTTCAATAGAATACTCATTAGTCTGTGTTATCACTCCACACTCGTGTTAATCTGCTTAAGGCATATCAAGTTTTGTACTCCAAAGTGCTTTTTGTCTTTTCTGTGGAGTTTCTGGCCCTCTAAAAATCTCCTGGATAAATTCCTGTAAATTACCACCGAAGAGGTGGCTGGCAACGGAGCAGATTATGAAAGGCTTTGAGAATTCTCTCCTGTCAGTAACAGGAAATGATCACTGGCTTTTGAGCCAGAGAAAGGAAGCAGGTTATAGGATGAAAAGAATATAGTTAATAGCAGAATAAAGAATGGTCTGCGGGAGAGAAGCCTGTGCAGGGGTTAGAACACGAGACAGTACAATGAAACGCTTCACCATCTGATCATTGGCTGAGAACAAGAAGTAATAGTAATAAGACTAGCTAAGGCTTCCTGAGGGCGTTCCATGTGTCTGGCCATGGAGCAAAGCTTTATATACACACACATCTCATTCAATAATCACAGTCCTATAAAGCGGTCACTCTCACATCCCCACTTTTCCTAAGATGAGGAAGAGTTCAGAATCCAGCATACTTTGTGGAGTGCAAGGCTGATTATGGACATCCCAGGACAACACTAAAGATGCCAAGAAAAGCCCGGCGGTGGTGGCGCACGCCTTTAATCCCAGCACTCGGGAGGCAGAGGCAGGCGGATTTCTGTGAGTTCGAGGCCAGCCTGGGCTACAGAGCGAGATCCAGGACAGGCCTCAAAACTACACAGAGAAACCTGGTCTCAAAAAAAAAAGAAAAAAAAGAAAAAGAAAAGAAAAAAGATGCCAAGAAAATATTGAAGATTGGAATTATGGGTTCCAAAGATTCTCTTGGAGCCATATTTTCCTTTTGTTGTTGTTGTTGTTGTTGTCGTTTACTTGAGACAGGGTCTCTCTATGAATTCCTAGCTGTCCTGGAACTTGCTCTGTGGACCAGGCTGACCTCAAACTCACACAGAGATCCCCATCCCTTTGCCTCCCAAATGCTGGGACTAAAGGCATGTACCACCATACTCAACCCAGTTTCTAAGGGAATTCACTCAGCTGCATCATAGCTGCTGGCCAGTGAGGAACAGGCCCAAATTTGGGTCATTGGAAGCAGAAGCTGCAAGCAGGGGTTGGTGGAGATTTTGTAGTCCTGAGCTGGGAAGAGGACAGTGAGTGCTCCATCCCAGCCACAGAACCATCTGGTTTATACCAGAAAGAGGATGAGGTAATACATTCGGTGTTTATGCCTCACTGTGCTGGAAATCTAGATAGTAAAGGGTTAGGAAATTTGCACACATTACTTCTAATAGTGAGAATGTGAGAGCATTCCATTTCCCTACATTTCAGGTTCCCAAAGCCTCTAGTGTTCAAACCCATATTGTGGACATATGAAACTAACTGGTACCAATTATCTTGACAGTAAAACTCAAACCTGAGTGTGGCAGGGCAGACATGAGGGAGAGAAGCCTTTGCTCCGTTATGAAGGATATATTTCAAAGGCAGTGAGACACAGTGAGAAACATTTCCTGTGGAAACTCTTTTGTATCTCAGGTTTCTTTTTAAAACGAGGTTTGCAGCTCACAGTTTGTGGCTTCATCAAAAGAAGTTTCAGATCCCAAAGGTGAGATAACTCGCACCTGGAGCCCGTGTGCCTTTCCACCCTCTGGCTGGGAACAATCACCTGGGAATGATTCCACCAGGTGGCTTCCAAGGTCCAACCTACTCGGTTGAAATCTGACCCTGACAGCGACTCCCTGAGAGCTGCTGCGGTTCGCTCAACAGGGAACCAGGAAATGCGCAACCTCTTTTATGTCCGAAAACCAGCTGGGCTCCCTGGGAGACGCATCCGCCATGGGAAACAGGCTGTGCTGTGGGGGAAGCTGGTGAGTAGGGCCGAGAGGTGGAGGGGACCGTCTCCGGTGGTGGATATGAAACCCTGAGAATCAGAGAGAGAGAGCCTGGAGAGACCGTGCCTTCCTCCACCCGCCACGTCCAGGGTGGAGCGCCAGAGCCGGACCTTAGGACGCCCTAGAAAACACAGCAGCAATCTGTAGAGTGTAGAGTTAGCTGGACCGATGAACCGGCCTTGTGTCTCTCTTCTCTCCTTTCCCTTTCCTGCTCGCTCTCCTTTTCTTTCTTCCCCAGACCATACTAATTGAAGCGTTTGAGTGCTCTTTATGGGCGGCCACTTATAATGCCAGTCAACTGTCCCAACACTTCCGTAAGTGGTCTTACAGTTGCTCCCGGTCCAGAAGCAGAGGCTCAGGGAGGTTAACCAATATGACTGTCACGTGCCTAGTGACTTAGCAGGTAAAACAAGATTCCACACGGGCTGCTGGACTTCAGAACCCATACTTTCCTCGCTAGGTAATCATAGAGGCGATCAGGGATTGAGCAACAGGATTTGGACAAGTGTGTGTTTGAGGTGGCAGAAGCGGGAAGGAGAGCGTCCATGGGAAATGTGAATGTAACCTTTATGCGATTTGCTGTGTGGCCTCGGGCAGTCCTGTGATTTCTCTGGGCCTCACTTTTGTAAAAATGCACAGTCCCTGCTGTGTCGCAGCATAGGTTTGTTTTGGAGAGCAAAAGCTAGTAAAAACAAAAACAGATAACGACGACAAAAAACACCTAATAATAGATTATTTGTGGTTTTATAAATTTCCCCCCAGGGTGTTCACTCCTACTACAAATTCCCAAATACGGCTTTGTCCTGTCATCTGCCTTCTGGCTGGATTGTTCCAGGTCTGGGACAAAGTTCAAAGATGACGTATTTCCAAATAAAGTGAGAGAAGAGTGAGGTACATTGGAAAGCACCTACAATTTGAAGACAGAAGCCTGGACTCAAGTCCTGTGCCTGCTAGTTCATTATCTATTTGGTTACTGAACAAACATTTACTGAGCACGTGCTGTGTACCAGGAAGTGACAGATGCAGAAGGTGGCAATAATAGGAAATTTGGATAAGCATAGTAGTGCACACCTTTGATCCCAGGGATTGAGAGGCAAGAGACAGGCAGTTCTAGGGTAGCCAAGGCTACATGATGAGCGCCTGTATCAAACAATCAATAGGTCTCTGCCTATACCTGCCTATATTTGTTTACATATTTTTTTTTATTTGTTTGACTTTTGAGACAAATTCTCTCTGTGTAGTCCTGGAACTCACTTTATAGATCAGGCTGGACTCCAACTCACAGAGATCTGCCTGCCTCTACCTCCCCAGAGCTGGGATTAAAGATGGGCACCACAATACCTGGCCCTTATTTACTTTTTTTGTTTGTTTGTTTATTTTTCGAGACAGGGTTTCTCTGTGTAGCCGTGGCTGTCCTAGAACTTGCTCTGTAGACCACGATGTAGATCTCAAATTCAGAGATCCACCTGCCTCTGCCTCCCAAGAGCTGGGATTAAAGGCCTGCGACACCACCACCCGGCTTAATTGCCATTTTTTATCTCTACCATTTATTTAGTCACTCATCAATATTGATGATGTAGGATGTTTCCTATTTTGAGATAATAATTCCACAATAAGTAGCCGTATCTACCTATATATGATTATGTATTGGGATTATGAGATTGCTATATCAGACAGTTTATGCAGTTATGTTTAAAGATCTTTATCCTTATTGACAATTGCATTCTGAAAGGATCGTTCCAGTTTTTATTCTTATGACTACTGTGGAAAATGGCCTGTTTAAATTCTTTAAGTCCAATCTCAAACTAATTCTGTCACCTATGACTATCAGGTTGTGTCCGGGTTCTATGCAACATCCAACTTGGGAAGAGGCTCTGTCCACTAAAATTGGATGGTTCTGGTCATGTATTCTGTGATTAATATTCTCTCTCTCCACTTAAATAGAAACAAGTAGGGAAAGAGGAGTGACAAGGGGCAAGGCATTGGTTCCTACCGTGTAGCTCTGACAAGGCAATCGTAACACAGAGCGAGAGCTGAAGCAGCCGAGGAAGTTGGAAGCCAGGCTGGCCTTCTGCCCAGCCACCTTTACTGTTTAGCTGAAGACCAACTCCCTGGCTCTAAGGAAGTTGCCTCAAAACTAAAAATCACTCCAAAACAGAGCGTGGAAAACATGTGTGGAAAAATCCTGGTTCCCCCACCCCCACAGGAATTCAGACAACATGATTTAGATATCTGCATGCCTCTCTCTTCCTTTAATTTCCAAGAGAAGGAAACTTCCTGAGGAGAGGCAAAATCAGACAGACAGGGCTCTGGTGAGATCTGGAAATATACTAGCAAGAAGCGGCTCCTAGAGTAAGTCTAAAACTATTCACCCTGTTTCCTCAGACAAGTGTTGTCTCCCGGGGCATCAATCACTGACGGTCACGTAGACATGCCGACATGCCGGCTCCATAGGGACCCCAGGAGCGAGGTTGCTGAGTCACTCCCCAAATTCGGTGTTCCCAGTTCTGTAGCTGGAGTGCTCCAAAGGGCATTAAAGGTTAAGCAAAGCATTTCTCACTTCTGTTAACTAAAAACAAGGACAGGGCAGCAAGAAGGGTAGCTACTTACTGGAATAGAGCTCTGTGGGGGGCCTTAACTAGATAGCCCTGGTGGTCACAGCTCCTATGACTCCCAGAACTCCCAGGTTGCCAAAGATCTCCCCACCCCCACCCCCCAAAAAATAGCACTGAAGATTCAGTCTCTGGATCCAGGAATATATTCCATAATTTGGCAGATTTCCCTTAGCCTCTACTGGGATTAGCTTGATAGACAATCCCAGAATAGCCTTCAAAACCAGCAACATCCCTGGCATGTAGTGCCCGGTTGCCTAAACCTGTATTTTGGGTTTGGTTATGTCAGTTTTACCACTCTACTTTCCAGAACCTTCCATCTGGGAGAGGTACTGTATCCTTTACAAGCACTTTCAGGCTGACCCTGGCACAGCGTGAATCTTTGGGGTGGTGGGAGAAAGTCCTCCAAGAATGTGAAGGAGAAGCCCACAGAGCAACTGAGGTGGAGAGAACATGCAGAACTCTTGCACATGGGTGATCTGTTTTTCTACACAGGAGCTGCCCATCAACTTTCCAGAAGAAAAACAAAACAGGTAATTGGGGGAGGGTATTGTGAGCAAGGGAAATCCGAGAAGACAGTAAAACCAACATCCTTGGAGAAGGCGTAGAAAGGAGACATGGCACTGGATAAGACAAAGGGAGGTGATATAACACAAAGAATCTTGAGTTTATTGGATCCAAGGCTAGCTCTTCACCTCTGGATCTTACCTTTCCCATTACTTCAGAGTGGCAGAGTTGGTTGCTCCGGCTTTCATTTACCCACAAAATACCACTGAGCACTTGTATTGTAGGGGAGCTGTTCTGTGGGTTCACAATGAGGAAGAGAAGCCCAAGGGAAGGTTCTGAGGTCTCAGCTCTGGAAGAGCTGAAAACCAACTCTGAGAGGCAGATTCATGTAAATACATAATTATAATGTCATCTGCTGGTGTACAGCAGAATACAGAGAAAACACCGATGCCATCGGAATAATGCAAAGATCACCAGTCAGTAGAAGAGGGTGCCAGCAGAGGCTGAGGAGTTAGCGCATGCAAACGCTTGGGGGGAAGTAAATGGTTTGATTGAAAGCGGCCCCATGGTGTAGCTGAGCACGTACCACATCTTTGTAGTAGCCTGTTAAGTCATGTGTCTTCCCAGGTCCACCGCTGTAGATTTCCCAAGAAAGAGGAAATAGCTTACTCATTCTTATCTCCCCAGAGGTTGGCCCAGAGCCTAGCACAGTGTGAGCTCTGGCTGGTGAGCAAAGAGGATGGATGGAAGACAGTAGAGCCAGGTAGAGAATGGGTCAGGTGGTGTATCCTGGGGAAGAGCCTGGGTGTGGGCTAGTAGAAGTGAAAGGGCAAATGAAGCCAGAGAGATTTGCTAGAAGCCCACTCCAATAGTCCAATAGACACTTGAGGGCAGTCTCAGTAGAGACGGGGAAGAGAGAATGAATTTAAGTTGGCTTTCTTCCCCCACAGGAGGCCAAGCCAGACCCACACTGAGCATATTGAAGCAGCAACAGCCCCGGCAGAATGGCACAAAGGTAATGACAGTCCTCTCTCAGGATCACTCAGAGGAGGGATCCCAGTGCTCAGCTTTTTCACCCCGAGGCAACTTCATCTCAACCATCTGTAGAAACTGCTGTGTCAGTCTGGGGAGATAGTTCAGCAGCACTTATGTGCAAGCCTGACTATCAGAGTTCGGATCTCCAGAACCCAAATAAAAGCCAGAGACAGTAGCGGAAGTTTCTATAATCCCAGCACATCCCTCCTGGGAATTGGGAAACAGACTGGAGAATCACTGGACACTCTCCAGCCAGCTAGCCTGGCTTATGCAGCACTACACAAGAAAGATCATGTCTCAAACAAGGTGGAATGCAGGGGCCACACACACACACACACACACACACACACACACACACACACACACACACACACACAGAGGAAGGGTGGAACTCATGTGTTACCTGGCCTCCCAAAGGAGCAAAGTAAAGGAATCTCGGTCTAACTGACCCTGCATGGGACGTGAGGGGCAAACCAAACCAAAAGCCTCTCTTAATTCTGGTAATTTCTGCCAGGTCTGTGAGACACCAGCACCCATGTACGAGCAAGTGTTACACCGGCCAGGATCTCAAAAGGCAAGTTCACACTCCACAACGGAGGAGAGCAACTTGCATTATGCGGACATTCATGTGCTCAGCCAAGTGCAGCCGTACTCTGGCAAGAAGGTGAAACACCCGCATTTAGAAACTGCTACAGAGTATGCCACCCTCCGCTTCCCCCAGGCCACACCTCGATATGACAGCAGAAATGGAACCCTGGTGTGAGCCCTTGGAAGGAAGTCCTGGCTTCCACGATTTTACAGTACTGTGGGGACAATGTACTGTTTTCGACAAGTTGGGATGTTGGCCATGTTGTAATCTTAAAGAACACCAGAACATCTGGAATTGTGGGTGCCCCCTACTCTCTCCACTATGAATCTTTTGGTTTGCCACAGTTATTGTGGAGTTGTGGTAAGGCTATGAGGGGGCTGAGTAATATTTAAGTGTGCAAACCAGTCATCCTCTAACCCCTAACATTACGTGGACTCTCAAACGCAGCAGGAACCCTTTATGCACGTTGGCTGTTTCTGGTAGGAATTATTTAATGATATTTGGGGTTTTTTTTGTTTTGTTCTTTTATTTGCCATATAGCTGAGGATGGCCTTGAAATCCTGATCTATCCCAGTCTCCCACTCCCAGTGCTGGGATTACAGACATGTAGCCACTATGCTCAGCTAATCATATCCCCTTTACACACTTTTACTCCAAAACCTCGGAGGACGCGTTCTGGAAAAGCTTTCGGAGCTTTTGCACACGGCCCCAGGACTGCTGTGGGAAATTAACCTAGTCGCTGGGTCAAGGGCTCCAGACCTTAGCACAGAGATGGGGACGGGGACTGACGGATTCTAAAGTCTTCTTCAACCACGGGCCGCAAGGACTTCAAATTGTGGACACTAACAGCCTGGAGAAACTCTCCTTGTAGGAGGACTGTTAGCTCTCTTCTGAGTAACCGTTAGGATCAATAAATAAATAGTATGAAGGACAGGCTGAGTGATTGTTCCTGGGGCTGGGTTTTGCAACATGTCCCAGCCCACAATATGGAAGGATCCAGCCAATGGAGATGCCTGCACATCCTACTCTCTAGTCAGCGGTTGGGATACGTACGGCATGGTGAACAGAGTGCAAGCTCCCATTGGCTGAAGGCGGGAAGTGGGCGGGACCATATGAGCGAGGAAACCGGCAGGGGTTGTGATGGGGGGGGGGGCTAGAAGGCGGGTCCAGAATGGTAGGGGCGTGTTCTTGGCCGGCTGGAGGCGGGGCCTGCAAGGCAGGAGGCAGGCCAAGGCTTGCAGGGGCTGGCTCTCCTCCCGGCCAGGCAGGCCTGACCTATGCAAGCCTTCGTGTCGCCATGGCAGCAGGAACGCGCAGCTCCGAAGAAGCGCCTTCCAGCCTGGTAGATGCTGAACCAAACGGGCAGATAATTTAAGAGGTAGGTGCCGAAAAGTGGTGGGTAGCTGAGAAATATAATTATGACCTGTTGAGCATCCAGATTGGAAGTAGGGACATCCGGCGGGGACGAGGTGAGGGAGGGGTGAGGGTGGGGAGTGGAGGCAGAAGTTTTGGGGTCTGAGCTCTCTCTGCACCCTGTAGAATTTTAGTGTACAGTTCTGCTTCAGACTTTAGAGCTTGGAGATGAGTTGTAATTCACTTCCCTTCCTTAATCCATCATACCACTCTCCCCAAATACACCTGTTGGTTCGTTAAGAGGATGATTTCCTGAAAGTGGGCACTGACAAGGGAATTGCAGCGCGCCTGTGAACACACACACACACACACACACACACACACACACACACACACACACGTTGATAGTATCAGTCTTGTAGAGAATCTATGTGAATTTACAACGTTGTAGTTTTACATAAAATTCAGTCGTCTCGTCCTCATTATCACCACCATCGATACAGCAATTGCTAGGCTTGTTCGCTGACACAGACCCAGTTAGTACAAATGGGTTCAAAAGAGATGGGCTGGAAGACTGCCTTCGTTGCAGACTGTTGAAGCAGCTCCCTCGCTTATTGTTGTCGAGGGGTAAACAAAAAGCCCCTTCCAAGGGTTCTTAACTATGAGGGTAAAATAAAATACTGTAAGTAACACTATGTAAACATAAAATTCTGTAGACAAACTCTGCCTTAGAATGATAAATGCTGGCTGGAGAGATGGCTCAGAGGTTAAGAGCACAGGCTGCTATTCCAGAGATCAATTCCCAACAACCACAGGGTGGCTCACACCATCTAGAATGTGGAATCTGATGCTCTCTTCTGGCATAAAGTCAAACATGCAGAGAGAGCACTCATATACATTAAAAAATAATTATAAATGCTAAACCAGGTGTGGCATGTTCACCTGTGATCTCACCACTTGGAAAGTGGAGACAGGAGGATCAGGAGGAGTTCAAAGTCATTCTCTATAGAAAATTGGAGGCCAGCCTGGGTTACATGGATCCCTTTCTCAACCTCCCACCCTCCACCTCAATGTATATGCTGTCTGTGGTGGTTAAAAGTCCTGAGTATATAAAATAAGAAGTTCCTGAAGAATGGAAGGTGTGTCAGGAGCAGATCATCTGGTATTTCTTCTGCTTATCTGAATATATCCTATGGTTTTTTTTTTTTTTGACAAGTTTAGGAAAGACAGGGCTCCGGGGGGGAGCATGGATGGGTGGGTGTGGGCGGTGAAAGACAGGGCGGGGGGGGGGGGCAGCCAAGAAAACATCCTTCTTATTTCTGTGAAATTGCTTTAAAATATCACTGAAGAACTAGAGAAATAGCCCAGTTGTCAAGAGTGGTTACCGCTCTTCCAGAGGACCTGACTTTAGTTCCCAACAGCCAACTCAGTAGCTCACAACCTCCAGTAATTCCAGCTCCAGGGGCTCCCTCCCCATCCCCACTTCTGGCCTCTGCGCCACCATCTCCATCCCCCCTATACACAACACATAGATAAGAGAAAATGCAGCTGAGATGGCCCTATTGTGATCACAATAACTTAGCTGCTCCTCAGGGTCCTAAGTCTTCTACTTCAAGATAAATCGGGGCCTGACTCCTCCTAGGTTAATTTAGCTTTTGAAGTTTTTCCTCCTCCTATGTGTTTTCACATATCATCCTTTCCCATTTCAAGGTGGCCCCGAGTCGGCTCTTCTAAGGACACTGAAGATGGGGACTCACATGGTTATGAGAGTCTGTAGCTCCACGATGCCTGGTGCGCCCTCTGTAAGTTCTGGTGTATTGTCAGGAGTGTGATGACCTCACATGAGCGTGGCGCTGCTCAGGAGTGTGGTGACCTCACATGAGTGTGGCGCTGCTCAGGAGTGTGATGACCTCACATGAGCGTGGCACTGCTCAGGAGTGTGATGACCTCACATGAGTGTGGCGCTGCTCAGGAGTGTGATGACCTCACATGAGCGTGGCGCTGCTCAGGAGTGTGGTGACCTCACATGAGCATGGCGCTGCTCAGGAGTGTGGTGACCTCACATGAGCGTGGCGCTGCTCAGGAGTGTG